GAAAGGGGGGGGGGGGGACTCTTGTGTTTTGCATGCCTTGGCGGTTAGACCATTGGCGTCCTCGAGAGGACGGAGCATTGCTCCCACAGGCCCGATGGCCGATCGTTTCTTCGGGAGGGGGAGGGGGGGGTATGTACCGGTCTTTGGTTTTATATAGAAAATAAGAGTGCCTTGGTTGGTGTCATGCCATGCGATTTTGCGGAGTGGGTATGTACAAGGTGTTGGTTTTTCACGAGAAAAGAGAAGTACCGTATGGTCACGAAATTCCATGCCATCGTGTTAGTATGCCCCCGTGCCCACCCACGGAGGTTGCCGTGCCCACCCACGGAGGATACCGTGCCCACCCACGGTATTAATGTCTGTCTGGGGACTATGTTAATAATCCAGTCGACCGATGCAGATTATATGAGCCTTGATTATCACACATAGTGCTTCTTCCAGCACCAACATACACAGTATCTCTTGCAGACACAGTGAACACATGTGCGGGCTCTCACGAGGGCCCCGCACTTGGACCCCAACAGCATACCCTCCACACACATACTCTGCAGATCGGATCTTGTATACAAGTACCCCAAACACATCGACAAAGCCTCTCATCGGGTGGCGACGTGCCATAATACAGTACTGGACCCTCTATAATGCAGGTGCCCGGTATAATGCCGGTGAAATCTGCTGTCACAGATTTAAGTTGGTATACTAAAACCTATATGCTCCTCGATCCTGTATAGTGCAGGTGCCCGGTATAGTGCTGGAAAAATCTCTGACACACCCCTGGACTAGAGGGCCCAGTACTGTAGTGTATTATCGTTACCTGGTGGGGATGTGCCATTTGACTTATCGTTAACTCTTCGTGCGTGTGGTTCCTTCCTACAGCCGGTCGACCCGAACAACAGGACGGTGTTCGTGGGCAACCTCCGGTCGGGCGACGTGTCTGCCGAGCAGTTGGAAGCTTTGTTCAGGGCCGCCGGACCGCTGTCAGGGGTAAGAGGGGTATGGGGGGGGGGGGGGGGGGGAGGTAAACCCAA